CTGGATAATGGGATTTCCCTCCTCCTTCTCGCCTCTCCCCAACTCTCTCTTTCTTTTCTGCCTGAGATAAGATCTTGAGCCTCCAGCTGGCTATGTGGTTGAGGATGGACTTGCACTTTGAACTATTACAGGATTACAGGTATAGGCCGCCAAGCCTGGATTATAGGTAGTTAGTTATATGGCACAATCCAACCCGGCCATGGTACATGCCAGGCAAGCGGCTGAGTAGATCTCCAGCTCCTGTTCTTATTTTCACAATAAGAAAACAAAGGCTTCTTCCAAAATGTTTCCCTGTTGGTCATGTACACAGGAATATAATAAATCAGAATAAAACAGAAACTCATTAGAAAGGGAAGGGAATAGGTTAGACAAAAATCTTCTTCATCCCCATTGCCTGTAACTTCTTAACTCTTAGGTGATTAGTGGCACCAAGGAATAAATATCAGTCGGCTCTGCTAACAACCAGGCAGAGTCTCAATGGGCTGCGGAGCATGGAGGGGTCGCCTACGCTGTCGTGAAAGATGTGGAGCACAGGGTTAGTGAGATAGACCAGCGGTTAGAAGTGCTGGACACCAAGCTAGACAACTTTAGTTCCGTCCTCAAGACTCACACCATGAAAGGAAAGAATCAACTCTCACAAATTGTTGTTGGACCTTCACATACATGACCTCTGCCAGCCCCAAATGTAAATGAAAAGCTATCGTCCATAGTTTTCAGGGTCTAGCTTTCTTATTTAAAAAGGTTTGTTTTTAAAAGTTTTTTTTAAATTTAAAATTCAGTGTATATGTGTTTATATCTGTGTGGAAATGTACATATGAGTGCAGTGCCCGTGGAGGCCAGAAGAGGGTGCGGGGGAGCTGGAGTTACGGGCAGTTGTGAGCCACCCAAAACAGGTGTTAAGAACTGAACTCGGGTCCCTGGAAGGCAGTACACACTCTTAAGCTTTGAGCCATCTCTCCAGCCCTTATTATTATTTTTCCTATTGAAAATTTTTTATATACTATATTTAGATCATGGTTTCTCCTTTCCCAACTCCTCCCAGATCCTCCCTAACTCTTCCTTCCACACAATTCCACACCTCTCTTTCGTTTTTCCTTCTTTCCTTCTTTTTTTCTTCCTCCCCCTTCATCCCTCCTTTCCTCCATCCCTTTTTCCTCTAGAAAACAGACAAACAAAAATCAAACCAGAATTTAAAAGCACAAGAAACACAGACATACACACACACCATGAAAATGCAAAATTGGAAACCATAATATACAAGCAAAAGACTAGTAAGACAAAACATGTCCAAACAAAGCAATGTGGACCAAAAGTCTAAAAAAAATACCATACCATTGAGTTCGTTTTTGTATTGGTCATTTACTGCTGGACATGACACCTACCCTTAAATGTGGCTAATATACCTAGTGAGACTCTACTGGAGAGAATTTTTTCCTTTGCAAGTACAGGCAGTTTCTTGGTTAGACGTAGGAGCCCATGTCCACCTCACCCTCTGGACAGTGAGACCCCCATATGACTTGAACCTGTGCAGGCCCTGTGTGTGCTGCAGCCATTTCTGTGATTCATATGTGCAGCAGTGCTGTTATGTTAGGACGATACGGTTTTCTTGGAGTCATCCACCACCTCTGGTTCTTAATCAGTCTTTCTGCCTCTTCTTCCACATTGTTCCCTGAGCCCCGAGGGGAACGGAACGTTGAAGACATTCCACGTAGGATTAAGTGTTCCAAAGTTTCCCACTCTCTGCACCTTGCCCGTCTACTGCAAGAGGAAGCTTCTCTGATGATGGCTGAGCTGTGCACTGGTATCTGGGAATAGCAGAATGTCATTAAGGGTCACTTTAGTGCTACATCCCTTCAACAGAATAGTATTTGGTCTTCCTGTAAGCCCATGGCCACCAGTGTAGCATCAGATAGTGATTCCACCTCATGGAGAGAGCCTTAAATCCGATCAGATGGTAGTAGGTTACTCCCACGTTTATGCCATTATTGCACCAGTGTGCCATGCAGGCGGGTAACTGTTGTGGACTGCAGGGTTTGAACTGGGTTGCTGGTTACTTTTCTCCTCTAGTAGATTACGGAGTGCCATCTGTTACCGTGAACACTAATCAGCAGGGGTGAAGACTCCGGTTACTCACCAGCAGCAGTTCTCTATGTCCTGTAAAATATGTGTCATCTTCAGAAACAGAACCTTTCCATCACTGTGGAGAGCAGCCAATATCCTTCGTGACAGTCTGAGATTTTGGGGGTTTCCACGGGGCCCCTTTGACCAATGACTCAACTAGATGCCACTTATTCCTGGTGCTGGGGGTTTCATGTGGTGACAAAAGATGTCTACTTAGGCTTTGTCTCTCTCGCTGTTTGGTGATTCCATTTAGATTACTGTCATTTGTGTATACATTTTAAGAAACTTCTACAGTAGTAGATTTTCGCATGATCCCTCAAGTGGCCCTTAGTGTTTTTTGTTCCTCCCTGTATCCCCCTTGCTCCTGTCTTCTCTCCAGTCTCTCCCCATCTCTCCATAACTACCTATTTATATCCCTTCATCGGGAGATCCTCCATTCCCCCAGTTCCTTACTCTATACCTAACCTTTGTGACTATATGGCTTGTACATGCTTATCAAGTGCTTAAAAGCTAACATCCACATGTAAATAAAACACATAACACCTGTCTTTTGAGGTCTGAGTCACTCAGGATGATTTTTTTCCAGTTCCATCCATTTACCTTCACATTTACTTTTATTTTTCTTTTGAGTTTTCAAGACAGGTTTTCTCTATATAGCCCTGGCTGTCCTGGAACTCACTCTGTAGACCAGGCTGGCCTCCAACTCAGAGTGCTGGGAACAAAGATGTGCGCCACTGCCGCTTGGAGGCAAATTTCATTTTTGAGCAGCTGACTATTGTAGGAAGGCCTGCTTGTTTGTCTTGGCCACCTGGCTGCTTAGCCCCAAAATAACCACACAGAAACTGTATCAATTAAATCACTGCTTGGCCCATTAGTTCTAACTTCCTTTTGGCTCTTACATCTTAGTTTAACCCATTTCTATTAATCTGTGTATCACCATGTGGCAGTGGCTTACTGGCTAAGTTTCGGCAGCCTTTCTTACTCTGGTGGTAGATACATGGTGTCCCTCTGACTCTGCCTTCTTCCTCCCAGCATTTTGTTTAATTTTCCCTGCCTACCTAAGTTCTGCCCTATCAACAGGCCCAAAGCAGTTTCTTTATTAACCAATAAAAGCAACACAAAGACAGAAGGACCTCCTACACCAGCTGACCACTTTGTTGCTGGACCACATTTTCACTATCCAGTCGTCTGTTTATGGACATCTAGGTTGTCTCCAATTTCCAGCTCTTATTTACAGAGCAGCAATGAACATTGATGTAGAGTCCTTTGAGGAGATGCCCAAGAGTGATAGAGCTGGATCTTGAGGTAGATCTATTCCCAGCTTCCCGAGGAACTACCACACTGATTTCCATAGTCAGACCCTTATTTTTAAATTTTATTTATTGTTAGTGTGTGTGTGTGTGTGTGTGTGTGCGCGCGTGTGCGCATATGTATAATATGTGTGGGCACATGTGCCATGGAGTGCTTGTGGAAGCCAGAGAACAACTGTCAGGCATTATTGTCCTCCTTCTAATGTGGCTCCCAGGATGGAACTCTGGTCATTAGTATACTTGGCAAGTACTTTTACCCACCTCACTGGCTCTGTTTACTTGTTTCTAGTTGGCAAATAAATGTGTATATTGAGGGGGTACAATGGTGATTTGATAGGCATATGCCTTGTGGAAAGAGTCAGCCTAGCCAATTAACATAGCTAGCCTCTCACTGGCTTATCATGGGAGCTCCGATTTCAGTAGGAGCCCCAGGTCTCCTAATTCATACACTGGATTCAAGTAATTTTTCTGCTATATAAAAGTTTTATCCCAGAATTTCTTCTGGGACCCAAGGTTTAATTAAGAAATGGAAGCAATGGCTATTTCTCATAAAGTAATAGTATGAACTTTGGTTTTTAAATATATTCCCCCTTTTAAATTGAGAATTTCATGCACACATATAATGTATTTTGGTCAAATCTACCTCCCCATTCCTTCCTATCCCACTCCTCCCTTATTCTCCCACCACTTCTCCTTCCCAACTTTATGTGCTCTCTCTTTTAAAAAACCCACTGTGCCCACTTAGCGATACCTACACATGAATGCGGGTAGGACCATCTATCGGAAGTATGCTAACCTCTCAGGGCCCGAGTTTCTGGAGAAAAATGACTCTCTTTCTTTCACCATCCATCAATTACTAATAGCTCCTCAATGAGGGTTGCAACTCCACCAGTCCCCAATCCACGCTGGGATTTTGTCTGACTCGATCTTGTACAGGCTTGTGTTTGTAGTCACAATTGCTGTAGGTTCACGTGTGCAATGGCCTGTCATGTCCAGCAAATGTTTCACTGCAGACATTCACTCCCTGTCTTTTACAATCTTAACTGCCCTTGGCCCGTGAAGGTCCTTGAGCCTCTTGAGCCTCTGTGAGTGGATCATGACCTTGATCGCTTTATCTTCCCACTGCTGTCTCCTGGTAGCTTTCTACCTCGCCATCCAAGTGCTGGGATAGCAGATGTATGCCACCACACCTGGTGCGAGCCGTGGTAGGGCTCGAACTTAGGATTTTATGCTTGCCAGCCAAGCACCTATCCACTGAGCCATGTCACCAGTGCACTGTGCCCATCGCTCCACTTCTTTACTAAACACATATCTTTCCCACACACCCAGAGTCCTCCCAGGGTTTTATCGGTAGTAAAACTGGATGGGGTTCACAACCAGGACTCTCCCTTCTAACCTTCAGTTGGGGTTCTGGTGGCTGCCCTTGGAGGAATGACTTGATTTCTGGGATGTAACAACAGAATGAGTTGTTCTGGGACATGATTCTGTTTCTTCTGCGCTGGTATCTCTCAAGGCTGGGTTCCCCCTACTAGACGTTCAGTAAGTTCCCTGTGTTTTCTCCAATTTTAGGTTACCACACTTGTAAACTGTCCGCAGAACCCCTCCAACAGGAAAAAGGGACGCTCTAAGAGAGCCAGAGTTCTCCTGGCTTCGGTGGAGGAAGCAACTTGGAACCTGTTAGACAAGGGGGAGAAGATCGCCAAGGAAGCCAGGGCTTTAAAGGAGGAGCTCACAGCTGCGCTCCAGGAAGTTCGCAGAGAGAGTGAGTATCCGGAAGGCAGGCAGGAGCAGCCCGCCTCTCCTCAGGGTGCTATCGGCTGCAGTGGATTTGTGGGTGTTTTGTTTTGCAGGCTTGAGTTTATTAGTCTCGCACACAGCTGTGAAGAGGGAGCTGTGGGAGGCAGAGTGGCTCATTAGGCAGCTCCAAGGTGGAGTCCCAGCCCCGGCTCTTCTCTGGTTACTGAGTCTCTGAATACAGCTCCCCACCTCCAACAATACTGCATTGCAGCTTCTCCTTAATAACTGGAGAGGTTTAATGAAATGAAAGATATCTTTGCCTACACACAACGAATTGTAATGTTCTTTATAAACAGTCGGGAGACATTTCTTCTCTGATGGGCTCAGAACTATGTTTTCTATTTTGCAGTGTTTGGAAGCTTAGGTTTACCAAGCTCCCCATCTCTCCCCCGCCCCCCCCCCCCCCCCCCCCCCGTCCTTTTGGGGTAAGGCTTTGTGTAAACCACACATAATCCATGCTGTGCTTTGCCCATGTTACATAAAAAGAACACATATTCTGCCTTTTGATGTTTTACTATGATAACACAACAATCAACCCCCTCTGAAGATTACAAGTCTCATCTTCAGGATATTTAAAACAAGATTTTTAAACAGTTAATTTGTGCCTGTGGAGGTTCATTTGTTCAGTTGCTTTTCACAGGCATATATGAAGGCCAGAGGTGGATGCTGGAGTGTCTGTCTGTCTGTCTATCTATCTATCTATTCATCCATCATTTATCTATCATCTATCATCTATCGATATCTATTCATCCATCATCTATTTGTCTGTCTGTCTGTCTATCTATCTATCTATCTATCTGTCTGCCTATATCTATTTATAAATGATCTATTTATTTACTTGAGACAAGGTCTCTCACTGAATCTGGACCTTGTAGTTTTGGTTGGATGCCTATCAAGCCCACGGGAACTGCCTTCTCAACCTTCCAGTGCTAGGGTGATACATATGCATTGCCACACCCAAGGTATTTTTTCCCTTTTCATGTGGGTGCTAGGGATCAGGATTCAGGTCCTCCTGTTTGCTCTGGAAACACTATATCCATGGATCCATTTGCTAGTCCTGAAAGATATCTTTAAAAGAACTATTTGGTGATTTTATGTTTATTACTTTTGCTGTAGCTATTTTAGGAGGGAAAACAAAGTAGAACTTTTTTGTTCAACTTCATAAAAAATGTCTGAGCTGTTTAAATGTTTTTCTCCCCTAAATCCTAGTACAATTTTAAAAAAATCAGAAAGAACCAGGTATGGTGGTACTGGTACTGTGACTTCAGTACTCAGGAGGCTGTGGTTGAAGGATGGCAAGTTCTTGGCCAGGCTGAGCTATCTCGTGGACACCCTTGGTATGTGTGTGTGTGTGTGTGTGTGTGTGTGTGTGTGTGTGTGTGTGTGT